ATTAGCAACCTAAAATGGCTACAATTATACTTATTATAACCATAAAATAGTTGAAATTACCATAAAAATGAAATTCAAGTGACTATAATTTTATAGTTATATTTTGGAATAACCATATTTTTTATATAATTATAAAATTATAGTCATTTGAATCATTTGTATGATAATTTCAACTATTTTATGGTTATAATAAATATAATTATAGTCATTTTAGGTTGCTAACTATATACATAGTGTGTTTACTGTTATTATTATTATAGCAGTAATAATCATAATTATAGTAATATATAATTATAGTTACAAATACTAAACATTTTTCTCTCAGTGCATTTAAAAAAAAAATCGGTTTTTCATGATCACATGGAGGCCCATGTCCACTGCTTTTTTAAATGGAACTTTTTTACACAATACGATTCCTTCAATTATTCTGCATATAAAAGTATTAAGGTAGTGATATAAAAAAACCAATAATCTACGAAATATTTTATAATTTATTTTAGCATAAAATATTAAATAATTCATAAACTATTAATATTGTAATTATTTTTTATAATCGTACATTAATATTTTTAAGAACACTATAATGAGATGAATCAATTGATGGAAAGCATAATTGCTTATTTAAGAAATTATCCTTTTTACATGCATTTTAAAAAAAAATTATGTTTTTTTTACATCAACTGATTTATCTCATTATTCATACTTTTTTATGCAGAATAATTAGAGGAATCGTATTGTGTGAAAAAAATCATATTATTCCATTTAAAAAAGTGGAAATAACTTCCATGTGATCTTGAAAAATCGATTTTTTTGAAAAATTATTTCATCATTATTTGTGCCCCTTCGAATCATACAACTTTTGTTTGAAACAAAAGTTTTTTTCTTTTATTGTAAGAGTGCGTGCGGGGTAATGACGTGAAGGGAATAACGGAAGGCGAAGCTAAAAATCAATCGAGAAATGATAATATAGGATGTTGATACTATAAGAAAATTAACAAAGATTTAACGTTAAAAAAAACATTTACACATTCAACATCTAGCATTGCAATGTCTCAGCAATGTTTTTTCAACATTCTGTGTTATAGTTATAAAATATTCAAAATTTATATTATTGAAACGTTTCTTATTATATATCAGTTCGGAAATATCATAATAAATATTAGCAATATTACAATCACTTATAAAATATTAGTCGAAAACGTTGAAATTCACAAAATCTATTATATATTTCAAAATGTTTTCATCTAATGTTTTTTGCTTACTGGTTGTATTCAATGCAGTAAAGCATTCTTAATCTTGGTCAAAAGTATTACAAAACTGTACATTACGGTAGCGCAAACAGATACAGCTCAAAAATATTTATATTTGTTTAGAAAAATGTCGATGATATCTTCTAAAAGACATGATATAATTTGTTCCTATCATCACATAATTCATAGAACACAGAAGTTAACAGGAATATTGTTGCAACTAAACAATTAAATATGATTTTAATAATGTTGCAGTAATATTTAAAGAAAATTGTGAAAAGCTACTGATTGTCCTTAAATACTTTGTATGCATGCACATTTTATGATTTATTAAGTTTTATAAAATATTAATCAATTTTATATATGTTATTATTTGTGCTTAAATAATTGTGTTCATAAAAAATCTTTCATCAGAATGACATCACGAAGTATTCCGATAATTTTTTACAATGTAATATTTTTTTACAATGTATAATTTGCAAATACTATTTAATATTTCATAAAAATATATATAATTATGTATATAATTTATTACATAATTTTAAATAGTGCTGTCCCATTTTTTGTATATACAAAAACTTTTATTTATACATATATTATATAAATATAGATAAAATTTGTATGCATATAAATATTAATAATCTGTTATAGTTATAATTTGTTAT